ACGAGACTCCTTGAAAATAATCTAAAATTAGAAATGAATATTTACAAGTTTATTTACGAGTTTGGAGTCGTCACCTAGTATTGAAGGAACTAGGAACCTAAAACGGACATTGGTTCGGAGATTCTATGGTAAGGAGTTGGTTACGCTTTTGGGAAGATGTCGATCATCCAAAAGCGCCCTTTCCGAAGAAAGGTACCATGTCTGGTTTTAGCTCTAAATTTATCTCCTAAAATGTCAAATTATTTTATGATTCTTAATCTCTCATTTTTTAGACAAATTGAATTTTTTAGTTTTGAGCGTGGCATCGTATTGAAACGATTGTCGATCCCCTTCGTCGGGCGACACGTCGATTCAAACATCGGATCCACTTTAAGCCTTAACACAACCGACGTGTCAAAGGACGTCTTAATTAAAAGGTGATTTTTGGTGACGTCGACCCCTATCAAATAGGAGGCTTCGTCGAAAATTTTGATATATATTTTTTTCTAGTTTTTTTTATTTTCTTAATAAAAAAATTAAGATTTTAATTAACTGAAATTAACTAGAAATTAAATTTATTAAAATCACCGTCCGTCCCTAATAAATAGGAGACTCGTTGATCCAATATTTTAATCACATAAAAAAACATATTAGAATAAATTACACAACTAAATAGCTCTAGATTTTCGAACATGCATAAGATAAAAAATTATTACAAAACACACAAAAAAATAAAAAAACAAACACAAACGAGTCTAAAATTCACATATATTGTAAAATTACCAAAATGCCCATGTAATACCAAGGGTCACCGCCAAACGACCGTTCGTCTTCCGATGACCTTTTCGGCGCGTGGACCAACCATCCTTGTAGATCCGATCGTTACAAATCCAACGATGGTGCTATCGACCGGAGACGACGCCGGAGAAGGGAGATCGGAGCCTTCAAAGATTCGGTCGGACCTCCTTTCTTCACCGGTGATGAATCCGATCTCCTTTCGGGATTCCAAGCATACCGGTCGACTCGTGAGGTTGAGAGAAAGATTTTTATGGTGGTTAGAACCTTCAACGACTTCTAAATCGACCAATTTTTTTGGGTTTTCTAAAACGGATCGAAAACGAGTTGAACTCAATTAAATCGTTTTTCGATGTCGTTGGTTCGGGATATTTATATGAGAACACTCGGGGAGACCGATGATCGATCCTGTAGTGGTGGTTTTTGTGTTGGTGATTGGAGTTGAGAGAAACGAACGGGTATTTTTTCGGGTCGGGTTTTGGTGGTTTGATCTTTGATTTCTCTCTCCTCCGTGATTGTTTCTCTCTCTAACCGATGTTGATGGATCGATCTAGTGATGGGCTACACGTGGGTATGTTGATCGGGGTCAAAATCTGATCGGAAAACGATCAATTGAGGCTCAAAAGTTTCGGATGGGTAAATGGGTAATCGAGTATGGTTATTGGGTTAGGGCGTGTTTGGCTTCTTCTTTTTAGGTTTTCGGTATTTTTTCTTTTTTTGTTTTTTTGCTGCGTTTTTTCTTCTTTTTTCCCCCTCTCGCTCTCCTTTTTTTTTTTTTCGCGAATTGGAATTCGAGAGCTTTTTATAGGCCGAAAATGTCCTAAAATTTCTCTCAAAATCAATTTAAAAATCAAATTTTAATTGGAAAATCTTAATTTTGAGATTTTTCTAGCTAAAAATAAGGAGATTCCAATTTAAAAAGACTTGTGAAAGATTTTAACAGATTTTTGAATGATTTTAGGGAGGTTTAATATTTTTTTCCTTTTTCCTTTTTTTTGCTTTTTTTTTTCCTTCTTTGATTTTTTCCTTTAAAGGAAAAATTAGGTGATGGCAACAAGGTTGAACCGAGATCCACACCTTGTGTACTAGGGCTTCTCTCTCACCCACCTTTGTCATCAATACTTTGACCCTCTTAAGTCTAAAGTTTATTTATCTCGTGATCTAATTGTTGTAGAAAATGTGTTTCCCTTCAAAATTATGTTTTCAAAAATTCATAATAAATTTAAAAATCTAGAATGGGATGACTTGTCCCCACTTAACCTATACTAGACCTCACAAATGTTAAATAACCCACCCACCCAACTACCCAATCCCATATCGGATCCGCTCAACTTGTTCTTGTAGCTCTTAATCCAATTTTAGATTTGCCCAATCCCATTCCAACGTCATCTTCGTTGCCCCGCACCTTACCATTACTTTCGACCCCGGATCGGGTCACTCGTCAACCCTACGAGTAGCTCTTGCCATTCCCCAACGAGCAATCGCTCCAACTTCGCAGCCTCGCCCATCCCTTCCACATAAGCTTTTGCCAACTCGCCCCCTCCTGCCACTATTAGCCCTCGATTGCCGGCACCTCAAATGCTCTCTTCATTACCATCCAACTTGATGCCATGACCCAACTATCTTTCTAGCACATCATCTCCACCATAACCTAAGCCACTCTTAGTCTACTCTAGATGCCTACCCTTAAATCAACCCCTCCAACATTAGGTCCACTCTCTTCAACCACTACCGCCCTTGCTTCACAACTAGCAAACCAAAGTGCTCCCCAATCATCATCCTAAGATATGGTTACACGTTCTCAAAATCAAATTCATAAACCTAAATTTTTTTTATTACATGGCTCAAGTTCCCATTGATTGTCACTCCCCACACCTTTCACCAAGCAAATAAAAACCAAGAGTGGCGAGCGGCTATGCAAGTAGAGTTTGATGCATTACTTAAGAACCAAACGTGGGAGCTTGTACCACATAATCCCTTTTAACAATGTCATGGCTTGTAGATGGTTATACAAGATTAAAAGGAAGCTAGATGGCACCATTGATCGCTATAAGGCCCGACTAGTAATAAAGGGCATCACTCAACGGTCTAGGGTTGACTACCACTCAACATTCAGCTTAGTCGTTAAACCAATGACAATTTAAGTGGTTCTGTCTCTTGTTGTTCAATACAATTGGCCAATTCGACGACTTGACGTTAATAATGCTTTCCTTCAAAGTCTGTCTTGATGAAGAAGTCTATATGACTTAACCTTTGGGCTTTGAAAATCCACTATATCCTTCTCATATTTGTAGACTAAAGAAGGCTATTTATGGTCCGAAACGAGTCCCTCGTGCTTGGTATAATGAACTCAAGGCTTATCTCTTTTCTATGGGATTCTTCAAATCCGAGTCTAATAGCTCTTTGTTCATCAAGCATGCTTCTACTATCACTCGGCTATATTCTAGTTTATGTGGACGACATTACTCGTCATTGGTTGTGATAACATGATGGTTCAATAGGTCATCTCATCACTTGCCAATTATTTTTCAATTAAAGACCTTGGCAATCTTTATTACTTTCTTGGTGTTGAAGTCTTAAGTCATCCAGATTGTCTTTTCTTGTCTCAAACTCAATATATTGATGATGTTCTTCAATCTAAAAATATGCACAATTGTAATCCTACCAAGACACCCATGAGCTCCTCTAAGCAGTATCGAGTTTCGATGGCTCTCCATCTACGGATGCTACCAAGTACGGACAAGATGTTGGCAAACTTCAATATCTCGGTTTCACAAGGTCGAATATATCATACTCTATGAATAAGCTCTCACAATTTATGCATGCTCCCTTTGAACTACATTGAAAGGTGGTTAAAAGGGGTCCTCGAGTATCTCAAAGGCACTATGAACTATGGTCTCTGTTTAAGAAAAAGTGAAGCCTTGAACCTAGTCATGTTTTCTCGATGCGGATTGGGCAGGAGATGTTAATGATCTCTACTATTGATTATCCGTAATTTCTTGGTCAAAATCCAATTAGCTGGTCCTCTAAAAAGCAAACAACTATATCATAATCATCCACCGAGGCCAAGTATTGTGCAGTTGCTAGTGCTCCGGATGAAACAACTTGGGTAAAAAAATCTTCCTTTTTGACCTTAGGATTCCACTTCCTAAGTGGCCTATCATCTACTATGACAACATCGAGGTCACTTACCCGTGTGAAAATCCAGTTTTTCATAATCGAATGAGGCACCCGGCCGTTGATTTTCACTATGTTAGAGACCGAGTACAACACACGCTCCTTACTCGTTGCTCACATCCATGCTACCGATCAGCATGTAGACTCGCTCACCAAAGCTTTGCCAAAGCCAGCTTTTGATCGTAATCTTACCAAGTTGATCGTTCCACTACGTCTAACTTGAGGGAGGCATATTAGTACACACGTGTTCTCCTTAGCTTGCTTCAGTTATTGTTTAACTATTTCCTTTCTTTGATTTATTCTTCATTCTGTTCCTCTTTTATTTGTGGGCTATTACTGATTTGTTAAAGATTGCTCCTATGATAAAGGAGTACCTTCTTGTATTTAAGCTTAGCTTTTCATCCAATAAAATATTTAACTCTGCAAACTTCTTAGCTACCATGCCCCATCTCGCGTTCCGAAGCCTTACCCTTGTTTAATATTGTTGTTCTAGCAGATTCTGAATTGTTCTCATACTCTCCCTCAGTTCACACAACTTCTGCTCCACCGTGTTGAACTCCTGACCAACCGTGAGGTTGAATTTTGTCAAGCGGCGATCCAAGTCTTGTACTCTGGTTGCTCGGTGCTCGTTATCACCCATAATAATCGGCTCTGATCCCAATTTGCTATGATCTTGAGTGTAGGATCATGTCACAGGTCAATTAATGAGGAAGTCGTTTAGCTTTCCCTTGTTTAATCGTCGATTCTTCCTTGAAGAACCTATGATGACAGATAACAATGGATGGTTATTGTAGAGAGCACCAACTCTCCTAGTTTTTTCTTGATTGAAATATTTGATGCCTTTATTATGCAATCTCTTGCTTTATATAGTAGCAGGATAGTTAAAAAAAGAAATACAAATGTTAAGGTCAATAACCTGCAGAGTTTCCATAACAATAATGATTCTGAAGATACTCAATTATACTATGACTTATTTAGCAAATCGCCTATTGGGCTTTTATTCTTACTAAACTTAGAAAGATAACTACTGCATGAAATAAAATTGCCTGCTAATCTTCTATTGTTGCCACAGTTGGTACTCTGTTTCTGCGGCAGTACTTCTTGTCAATGAATGCGTCCACATCAGAAGCAACCAAGATAGAAACTATCTGGTGTTTTTACATCTGGGATCTTCTCATATCTCACCATCCCAGAGTTCATCCAATGTCCGGTATGCGCCATAAGTCCCGTGCACAAAATCGGTACCTTTAATGAGTCTCTCCTGCATGGTTAAATCATAAGGTCAATCATCTCATAGGAAGTAAAGCACTTCTCATAGCTCAAGATGATTTAATAGCTGCATGTAATCACTCCATAAATTCAGAGAGCCACTCTATGACTCAAAGATTCATCAAGTAGGTACCATTTTGGCCTAAGCGCATTATCACAAAGGTATCACCAGCATACCCAAAACCACAAAAGCTTGCAGGGCCAATCAAGCTATTTTTAAATAACCATTGCAGACACTATTAAACTACTACTCAGAGATACAAATATCAGAAGTATAGTATGTACAGAGTGTGTGTGTGTGTATATATATAGAACAAGTGCACAGAAATATTCACGGGCATAAAACATGGAGATAGAAGCTTGTCACTTGCCTGTTCAATTTCAGAAAGCTTGGCAAATAAGTCTTCAGGTATAGACCAATCAAAAATGTTAATGTTTTCTAGGATCCTTGTCTCATTTATGCTTTTAGGTAGCACACTGTGGCCCATTTGTAGTCCCCACCGAAGAGCCACTTGTGCTGGAGATTTGCCTAATTTCTCTGCAATCATTTTAAGAATTGGATTCTTGAGAACCTCAGTCTTGAGCGAACCTGCAGAACCTAAGGGTGCATACCCCTAAAAAGAGTGGGAGAGGAAAGGAAACAAAGGAAAGCAAATTATGAACAATGTGGTAGGCAATTCATCAGCTGTGGGGAAGAAGATAAAAGTATAGAACCTCCTCAATCAGACCCATCAATGATCAGCAAACACAGAGAGATAATTACCAGATATTACAGCAGGAAAATGCATTATAGTACTCTCTAGAGAAGGGAAATAAACCTCAAACAATACAAACCATCACTTGGACAGAACAAAAGAACTGAAGCTAGACCAACGCTCACTGGGTCTTGTGGTCTGGTATTGTAGTTCCACACCACTAGCAACCAGGTTTTAAGCATTGGTACCAGCACAGAAGAAGTAGCAGCCGAAGAAATAATAAAGCAGCAATAATAATCCAGCAATTTATAAAAAAAAAAAATCAGAAGCTAGAATAGAAAGTGAAAAAAAAAAAAAAAAGAGTGCTTAAGCCTCGAATACATTAGAAATTCCAGCATATATTCGTATACCCTTGTGAGAATGTTCACAGCAAAGCGAAACCTAAAACCTTTGAACAGAATTATCAATCTGTCTTTGCAAAGTGTTGGGAGAAATTAAACTTGTTTAGAAAGCGATCCACGCACTATAAGGAGCAGTATCTTTAGATCAATCTTATTCAAACATCCACGAAAGAACAAACTATTCACATGGTCCTATTTCACACTCACGGATAAGTGAACTCCCTCGGATTGACAACATGCATGAAGCTTTGGTTGCTGCCATACAAGGTGACACTCCACTTGGTTAACAGCAGGACGAATGTGTGCTACTGCTAGCAGATCTCCAAGCTTCTTTGACGAGAAGTTGCTTACTCCAATAGCACGAGCCTTGCCAGCGTCATAAAGTGCCTCCATTTCTCTCCAAGTACCGACTATGTCGGGTTGGGTAAGGTTTTCAGGCTCATAGCCAACAGAATCCTTCTTCATGCTCACTGGCCAGTGGACCTTCAAAATGATAAAACATAATTCAAGAAAGTTACTTTAAACAAGAAAGAAATGCTGGAACCACTCAGAATTGCGTTCATCTTTTCAGAATTTGTTAAAAGGTAGACCCAGAAAATTTTTTAAAGCATAAGGCTAAAAACAAGCACAGCTCAAATGTATACATACTAGATATAGATCCACATAGTCAAGCTGCAACTCCTTCAAAGTTCTATCTAATGCTGCTGGCACATGTTCGGGTGCCATTTCATTGCACCTGTAGATCATTATGAATTCTATTATATCCTACACAAACTGAACAAATACTGAAATCTGGATTTCTTTTAATTGATAGTTTCAACTTGAAAAAGTCTATAAAGGATCACTCTTGCATACCAGACTTTGGAGGTGATCCATAATTCCTCACGCTTCACTACACCATCATCGAATAGCTTCTTCAATGCAGAACCAACCTAAAACAATCAGCAACCAATTCTCAAGGTGAATTGATCTTCTTTTTTTTTTTCTTTTTCTTTTAAACGGAATCACCACTAGATCAGAACACAAAGAAAACACTATGAAAACATAAATTGACACAATATGAACGACAATATACACAGAAAACGTTTTTCCATCAAATCTGATTTATTCATCCACCCACTGGAAATTGCATTCCCAATTCTTCCAGGATGTTTTATATCTGGTGTTAATGCTTGCCCTTGAAGGTGAAACTTGTCAAGTTGAATATTTCAGTCACCGAAGGTGACACATCAAGCAGGAAAGTGGGTGGATAAAGCACAATGAATTTAATGAATACATTTAATGCAGAGAATCAATACAAGAAAATGGCCGACTATTGCATCTCCGAAATCTTAAAAGTGATTTCAATATTTATCAACTATCATTGTCAAGCTCAACTAAGCATAATAAACGATCCATTTTGTGATTTTCTCCTTGTAGACATTAGCATGGAAATACTTAATTATTCCCAAAGCTTCCTCCTTGGATGTAGATAATTACTCTTATATGCACAATCAACTATTTAATCCCATTTGTTACAGCATAGGACTATCTGCAATGACCTCTTCCATTTCTCAAATGAACGAAACTAGATATAAAGTAGAACTTTTGCCAGTTAGATGAGGAACAAAAAGATGCAGAACAAGTAATGGAAACACTAAATCCACAGAAACTGGTCTCTCTAATAAGACACATAAGAACAACAGTAAATATATATAAGCATCATGATCACCTCTATCTCGTTGCAGTAAAGTCGAGCACAATCGATATGCCTATATCCCACCTGCATCACAATTCACACGCAGCCCACTATAAGCTAACTACTTTCGAATATAAAATCATCCAAAAGGAAAAGCTATCATTGTCCTAAAACAAAATCAGTGACCTTTTCTTCGATGGTAACTGTTATAGTTATGTCCAAAAATCTCAAGAAAATCATTCTGGAGATATGATAGCAAGCATTAAAATTAAAGAAAACAGAAAAGAAAACATTGATGAAAACGATAATAATCTATAAATTAAACTCTTCCAACTACATTAAAAAGACAAAAAAAAATAAAACCTTAACAGCAGTAGTGACAGCATCAGCAACAACACCTGGGGCAGCCCTCCATGTGCCTAGCCCAACTGAAGGAATTTTGGCTCCAGTATTCAGCTCAAAACAGTGAATTGATTTCGCCATTTTCTTATAATAGATATATTAGCTCCCTACCTATATAGCAAAGGACAGGAAAGGAGCTACCGATGTGGAGGAAATGGAATCCTGAAAATTAAGTGATCTGGGAATGTGGACACTGTTACGATTGACTATGGACATCTCAACCTCATAAAAGTGGAAGCACCACATGATATGAATTTTTTTAATTACAAAAGGACAGGTTCGAAATCTACTTGACGAACATAATGGTAAACAATCATTTAAAACGTAATAAACAATAAGAACTTCAGATGAGATTCGAATGGTGCATGTGCTATTTCATTAATCTTTAGCTCTTGCATAATAATGGAAAATTTGGTGAACAATACCAAAAATATATTACAAGATTCAAGATTTATAGAGTAAATTATAGATTAGAGTTTCACTCAGATTTATAACTCTCCACAATTTTTAGACAAGAAAAAAAAAGGAATAAAGAAATTATAAACATAGATTCACCAATAATTTTATCAGCCACTTGAATTACAAAATTATATTCAAGATGCATAGTTTGTTAGAAGCATAATTTTGTCAGATCTTATATATATTTACTTAGAGAAAGATAGGCCAAGGTGGCGTAGTTCCATCATCTTCGACACATTGAAAGTTGACTTCCCAATTTCCCCAGCGTGATTTGGTGTACGAAAACAAAATCTAAAACTGGGCTAAACAAATAGAAAATAAAAAATTCCTAAAATATAATGTTTATGATAATAAATAAAATAAATTCAAATAAAATAAAAAATGACCTCTTAAACTTCTTAAATTCAAAATATAGACTAAGAACAGTTGTTGAAGCTATAAAAATTTCAGAAAAAAATAAAATCAAAATTTAGACTAAACAGATAGAAAATCAAAACAGCTCCTAATAATATAATATTTAAGAAAATAATTAAAATAAAGTCAAATGTAATACCAAATGTACTACTAAACTTATAAAATTTAGATCATAGATTAAAAAAACAGATAGATGTTAAACTTATAAAAATTCAAATTCAAATAAAATCAAAATCTAGACTAAGAAGATGAAAAATCAAAATAACTCATAAAAATATAATATTTACGATAATAATTTAAATAAATTCAGAGAAAATATCAAATCATTTCTTAAAATTATGAAATCTTGAAAATGGATAAAAAATAGATAGATGTTAAATATATTGATGTAGATCTATCATCGCATGTTACTCTATTATGTGAATTTGGTCAAATTAACTCCAACACAATAAATTTGGTCAAATCCCTCTGTCCATTAGTTCCATTAGGGTGTCCTAAATTCATTAGTTGACCAATTCAACGTTCCTGACCATGCCATGGATTAACACCCATAGTTCCTTGTTAATGCTCAACCACAGATTCCCACTTCCATGCATCAATCTCTAGTTCACCGGCTTCTGCTTAAAGCAAATCATTAATATTTCAGAAAAATTGAAGAGATAAATTGAAGTTGACCTTGATGAAACGAGGAGCAGAGTATTTGAATGGTTTTGGACTGATGAGTGATGTTTGGCATCATCACAATCATCGAATTCGTCAATTAACAAATTTGGGTCAGCCTTAACAGATTTAATGGATGCAGATCGACCAAAAACTTTTGGCGTAAAACTGAGGCACTCCATATCCTGGCTAGCTTGGGGGTGGTGGTATTTGCAATAATTATGAATACCCATTTGGCAAATATTTGCATGAGAAAAATCATTTTTAAAACATTAGTCAATATATATTTTTTTCATTGGAGTATTTATTATCTAGGGAATTACTTATCTGGTTTGTTTGAAGTATTATACGAGGAAATTTCTTCTTCTCAAGGAACAAATCCGTATAGGTTTATATCTGTTAGGTAATGTCAAAAACCAGCACGATGATAAGGAAGATTAAGGAATTAAAAATTAATAGATTAAGCTTATTGAGAAATTGTGAGCTACAAGGTGTACATAGATTCACTTTTGCACCATTTTGTTTTTGCTTATAAATAAAATTGGAGTTGAAGAAGAAAGAGAACAACTTAAAACATGGGGACTTGGACGTTGAATAGCATTTGTCTCTTCGTTTTGTGTGCAAGTCTTCTCATCCCGACAAGCCGCCACAGTTACTCACATGTTGCCTTGTTTATCTTTGGAGATTCGTTGTATGATGTTGGGAACAATAATTATCTCTAGGATGCTCTTGCCCGGGTAAATATGACTCCATATGGAGAGACTTTTTCTAAGCATCCTACAGGAAGAGCTAGTGATGGTCGATTAATTCCAGATTTTATCGGTAAGAACAATCTTTTGGTATGTTTTTTAAGGTTAATTTGTTTTCTTCTTTTATGAAATAAACTAATAGGTGGCTCTTGCATCACTGTTGGTCAGCCTTCATAAGGTGAATTTTGAATTATTAGAATGTTAAAAGTTAAATTAATTATACTTAAAACAGTAAATTACATATATATTTTTTATGACTTAAATGTTAGATTTTTAAGTACTTACATTGTAAGCTTATCTTGGATTGGTTTGACTTGCCGAAAAATACTCTCGTTGCAAAATGATGAATAAAAATGGTTTGCAAAATGATCGATCCTTGTAATTCCACCATATTTGCAACCCGGCCGCAGCCATCAATTCAAGCATGGAGCGAACTTTGCATCAGGAGGAGCTGGTGCTCTTGTTGAAACTCATCCAGGGCTATGTGGATTATGTTTGAATATTACCATTACGGCTGGCTAAAAAGCTAAAAAAAAAAAAAAAAAAATTGCAACTTGGGGTGGATTATGCTTATTGTGCTCTTAATTTGTTTGGTTCCTTCAAAGGTGATAGACCTTAAAACTCAACTAAGCTATTTCAAGAATCTGGAGAAGCAGCTAAGGCAAAAACTAGGAGCTTCAGAAGTTAAGACATTGTTCTCTACAGCTGTTTACATGTTCAGCATTGGAAGTCATGACTACTCTATCCTTTTCACTTCAAACTCCGCTATGCTTAAATCCCACTCCAGAGAAGAGTATGTGAAGATGGTTATCGGCAACACAACAACTATGATCCAAGTAATTAACATCTTAAGAACATATGTATTTCATATTTCTCTCAAAGCTCATCAAACTAAGATTGCATCAATTTTGGTACGTGTCTCAGGAAATATATAAGATTGGGGGAAGGAAATTTGGACTATTGAATTTGGCTGCGATAGGTTGTGTACCGGCCTTGAGAGCTCTAAAATTGACCACCACAGGTGGCTCCGGCTGCATGGATGAAGTTACGGTGCTTGCAAAACTACACAACAGAAAAATCCATAAAGCTTTTGAAGAGCTTGAAGGCCAACTAAAAGGATTTAAATATTCAATTTTTGATTCATACACAGCAACAAATGAAAGATTGAATAACCCTTCAAAATATGGTAAAGCCTCTACTTGATAGCTAAAAGGATTTAAATATTATTCAATTTCTAATTTTTTTTCTTATTCGAAATATTAGGACTATTTCATTCCAATTTTACATTTTTTTTTCATTTAAATTGTGTAAAGGTTTCAAAGAGGTGAAAATGGCATGTTGTGGCAGTGGTCCATACAGAGGCTACATTACTTGTGGCCTCGAAGATTACGAATTGTGTGAAGATGTTAGCCAATATCTTCTTTGATGGAGCTCATGCAAACGAGAAGGCGAACTATCAATTCGCAAAGCTAATGTGGAATGGAAGTACTAAAATCATCAAACCTCACAACATTAAATCACTGTTTGAGAAATAGCTCAAAATTTGTCCAAAGTGATCCATTTAATTCTTGTATCAGACAGTTAATAAATCTTTCAACAAATATTTGATTGAACAATCTCTCTACCTATATATGTTAGCATGATATTTTTTTTTTAAATTACGACTGATGTTATTATCAAGATACTAGTAGAGACCATGATAAAATACAACTCTTTGTATAGAAAATATAGGGATAAACTTTAGCTCAACAACTCAAGCTTATCTAGCAGAGAATTCTATGTAAACATCTTAGCTAAGGATTACCTTGCATTGTAGTTATCCTGCAGCTACAGCTCCTATATATATAGAGCTGCAGTACGTGTAATCAATAGAGGCTGAAACATACAAACTTTGCATCATTAAGCTCTGTGTTTATAGTTATTTCTTCTCTATTCCCTTGTTTTACTTGCAATCTAAACTAACTAAAGCTTACAAGGGTAAAGTCCTTTTTCTCTGTCCAAAGTGATCCATTTCTTGTATTAGCTTTCACACGGACACGGTCATACAGTAACTAAGGCATAATCAAGGTATATTAACATGATAGCAAATATCGTTGTTAGCAGAGTAAAATTAATGTGCAACAGAAAAAAAAGTTTTTTTAAGCTTTACTTCATCATATATTTGATCATTCATACAAAAGTTTATCAATGAATATAGACAAGGAAAGATCTCCAAGCACTATATTAAGCTTCTAGATGGTTGCATTAGGAATTTAAACGATCGAAAAAAGCAATTGAAAATCAAATCTAAGAAGTACAACTAAGCAGTTAACTCTTTTGTCAGGATTTTATAAATATATAGTTCCAGCTCTTAAAAGTGTATGGAAATATTATATGTATGATGCATCAGGAATTTTGATTCTGTCCATTTCGCTGTGGTATTGTGCGATTTTGGCCTAAATTAAGATGTGGTGTCAAGAAAGTTCATGATATATATGCATGATCTACCACACCTCCCCCCCTCAATGTGACATGATCACGTAAGAGCAAACAACAGCTAGTTAATTTCTTGGGATACAAACTAAAGACATTGAAATCAAAGACTTTCCTGTTTGATTTCTAAATTCCTAAAGTTTTGAATGTTCTTAGCAGATACTATTCCTTGCAAAAGGAACTCTGAACTTCAACTTAAGTAATGTTTTGCTAATTAATTGGTCTCTATTCCACCATCATTTAACGTTATCATCATCAACTACAGATGTCCTAACTCAGAACAGCCACCAATTTTATTAAAAGAAACATAAGACGTGGACAACACGAAGCCTAATAGTACAAACAGTACCATGTTGCAATAGATTAATAAAAATTAATATGCTGAACGAGTACAAAAGACAAAGAGAAAATGCAAATAATATGCTGCTTAAAGCCTTGAATTATTCAGCATCTATCTTAGACTGTATTTGAACTACTGACGGCCTTTAATATGTAATTATTTTGACCTAAATTATCGTGTGCAATTTTGTTTTGAGGAAACTAACAAGTTTCATGCATTTCTTAGGAGGAAAAAAAAAAAAAAGGAGTTTCATGCATGTAATTAAAATTTTCAACAAAAGAACTTCGGGTGTGATATGCCTGATATGACAAATACTTTTTTTTTCTTCTAAAAAATGGTAAATTTTCATACAGTTTTTTTTTTTAAAATTAATTATTATACTATATCTGTATTTTTTTTTCATACTTTTCTAAAATATCTATCTTTTATTAAATTTGTTAGTTATCAATTATTTAATCTTGCATTACATTGAACTAATATTAATTTAAGAAGAAAATATAACCAAAATTAAGGTAGTAAATAACACACACACACACACACACACACACACACATATATAAAGTTAATTAATGATTAAGTTTAAAATAATTATGAAAAAATATTCTAATTAAAATATTTTACTCTTAAAATTTTGACATGCAGTAAGATACTTATAAGAATGAATATTTTCATGTAACAAAAAAAAAAAAAAAATCTTTGAAATTTTATATTTAAGGTATTTGTATGTATAAAGAATATTGATTTTTTGTTAGTAAAAAACATGAAATGGAAGAAAGGATTGATTTTTTTTTTATTAATTAGGAGTGATTTAGAAAAATATATTAGTTAAAATTTTGATCACATAATTATTTTGAGACATCGAGAGTAGCTAGTTACTGATTCAGGAGTTAATGAACAAAAAATTAAATTAACGAAGATTGAAACAACTAGCTCCGTCTATTTCAATTTAATAGTAAAAGAAATTATGTATAAATAATTTCATTCCGGAATTTTATAAATTATATATCTCAAGATCACCGATAAAGTATTAAAAGCTTAAAAAAAAAAATTAGAAATATATTTTTCTCAATAAGTTACAGATATGAAATCCATATTATGGTTCGAAGACAAGACGAATTCAACATCCTTGGAATGTAAGGTTTTGCAGAGGTTCGAACTCCATTATTCATATCAAATGAATGTATTCTTTGACGACATCATCAAACAGGAAAGATGATGTGATGTTGAGAGAATCAAGACAGATGAATGAGAACCGTCAATGTTTTGATATAAAAATTGAGGGAGAGAATTGGACTCATTTACATTTAGATTTTGATTTTTAACTATAATATTGATTAACAAAAAGATGTTGTTGTCGGTGAGTGAGAACTGAAGTATAGGACTTAGAATTTCTTAAGAAACTATTTTTTTTTTCAAATTGATTTTTTGTTTTGTTGAAAAAATCTTGTTTTTTTCAATTGATTTTTTGTTAATTTCAATTGATTTTTGTTTTTGGTTCTTAATACTTTTTGAGTGATATTGAGATTTTCATAAACTTTAAAGATCAAATTGAAAATTTATATATAATTTCTGCTACCATCACATAAGGAAATAGACCAAAATGAATGTATGAGAGAATTCAAAGAACAAGGAAACTTAAGTTAAGGGGTATTTTTCTTTTTCTGTTCCTTGTTTTTATTTTGTTGGAATTTTTATTTTGTCAGGGTACTTTTGGATGTGACACGTTAAAATAGACATAATTCTTTTGAAAATTTATTCTGATCAATCCCAACATTTTCAAGCAAAATTGCAATACTTATAATTACCCATTCGGCAGAAAGTCGCTGCTATTGTATCATGTAGGGAATTTTTTAACTCTTTGCTATATGTCTATTAGGTAATGTCAAAAACTAGTTTGATGATATGCAAATAAAGGAATTAAAAATCAATAAATTAAGTTTATTGAGAAACTGTGAGCTACGTTCATGGAGGATTCGCCATTCTGTTTTTGCCTATAAATACAAGTGGGGTTAAAGAAGAAAGAGAACAACTTAAAACATGGGGAATTGCAGGCTCAATAGCATTTGTTTCTTGGTGTTGTATGCAAGTCTTCTCATCCCGACAAGCAGCCACGGTTACTCTGATGTTGCCTTGTTTATCTTTGGAGATTCGTTGTATGATGTTGGGAATGATAATTATCTCAAGAATGCTTCTGGTCGGATAAATATCATGCCATATGGAGAGACTTTTTTAAGCATCCTACAGGAAGGGCTTCTGATGGTCGATTAATTCCAGATTTTATTGGTAAAGACAATCTTTATTTTGGGATGCTTTTTAAGGTTGTGTTTATTTTTACTATTTTGTTCATCTTTTTCTTTTATGAAATAAATTAGTAAATAGCGGTCGAGTTGCGGGGGATCAGTTTTAATAATAAGAACGTTGTATTATTCATGATCATGATTAGAATATTAAAATGTTAAGTTGATTGTACTTAAAATACTGAATTATGCATATAGTTTTATGATTTAAATGTTAGGTTTTCAATTATTTTAACATAATCAACATCTCTCGTGTTAATTTCTTTTTTGATCCCTATTCTTCAAGAATTGTTGTTAAATTTTTCCTTCCATATATTGAAATATACAAATTAAAAAAAATTATATGCACGTACATTTATATCATTAAATATTAAAATATTATATGCATATTAGCGCGGCCCCCGCCCGGGGGGGGGGGGGGCGGTGTGGGAGAACAGTCCAATTAGTACGATACTAAAACATCAATTCTATTATATATATAACCTAATCAATCATTTATAACCTTTCATCTTTTCTAATCTAAGAAGTGTAAAATTGAGATGAACATAAATTTAAAAATAAAAATTGTTTTGCGAAATGATTCTTGTAATTTTGCTGCAGCTGAGTTTGCAAAGCTGCCATTAATTCCACCATATTTACAACCCGGCGACAACCATCAATTCATAAATGGAGTGAACTTTGCTTCAGGAGGAGCTGGTGCTCTTGTTCAAACTAATCAAGGATATGTATGAGGTCCTATTGCCTTTTTACGATTATGGTTAATAAGCTAAAAAAATGCTAATTGTTGGAGTGGATTATGCTTTTTGTGCTCTTAAATTTTTCATCACTAATACTATTATTATTTCATTTTTTCTTGTTTGGTTCCTTCAAAGGTGATAGACCTTAAAACTCAACTAAGCAATTTCAAGAATCTGGAGAAGCAGTTAAGGCAAAAACTAGGAGCTTCAGAAGTTAAGACATTGTTAACCACAGCTGTTTACATGTTCAGCATCGGAAGCAATGACTACTTCGTACCTTTCACCGCAAACTCCACTGTGCTTAAATCCTACTCCAGAGAAGAGTATGTAAAGATGGTTATCGGCAACATAACAACCGTGATCCAAGTAATTAACATCGATCTTAAGAACATATTTATTTCATATTTCTCTCAAATTTCATCCAACTAAGACTGCATCAACTTTGGTGTCTCAGGAAGTTTATAAGATTGGGGGGAGGAAATTTGGACTATTAAATTTGGCTGCGTTAGGTTGTATACCGGCCATGAGAGCTCTAAAATTGGCCAGCGCAGGTAGCTGCGGCTGCATGGATGAAGTTACT